ACGAGAACCGTTCGGCTAGGTCCTTCGAGGTAGTGACGCCATTGCTTGAAGGCTGACACAATTCCTAGCATCTCCTTATCCCAGACGTCGTAGTTGAGTTCCGCTGGGTTAAGCTTTCGAGAATAAAAGGCAACAGGGTGAGTCTTTCCGTCAATAACCTGGGATAAAATTGGGGCAATAGCAAAATCACTTGCGTCCGTTTCCACGATAGTCTGGCGATCTGGAAAGAAATGTACCAAGATCGGCGCAGATGTAAACAGGGTTTTGAGTTTTTCGAAGGCTGCTTGGGCCGTCATAGACCAGACAAAGTTCTTAGCATCACCCCTGAGACAATCGGTAATGGGTTTACAGACCCCGGAGAAATTGTGGATAAACCTTCTGTAGAAGTTGGCAAAGCCCATGAAGATCTGTACTTCCTTAACGCTGCGCGGGGCTTGCCAATTCGTAACAGACATGACCTTATCCAGTGCCATGGTGACGCCTGCTGGGGCAAGGATGTATCCAAGAAACTCGATTTCGGTGAGCTCGAAGAAGGATTTCTTCGGGTTGGCGACTAGGTTGTATTCTTGTAACCTATTAAGTACTTTGCCGACCAGCTCTCTATGCTCTTCTCGAGACTTGCTATATATTAGGATGTCATCAAGGTATACTACTACACCTTGATCCAGAAATTCCCTCAGCGCATCATTCATCATGTTCTGGAAGGTCGCCGGCGCATTTGCCAGCCCAAAAGGCATGACGAGGTACTCAAAATGCCCATACCGTGTTCGGAAGGCTGTCTTCCACTCGTCGCCGTCTTTGATCCTGATGAGGTTGTAACCTTCCTTCAGGTCAATCTTTGAGAAGATAACCGCGCCTGCCACTCGATCTCGCAGCTCGTCCATAAGCGGTAATGGATACCTGTTCTTGATGGACACACGGTTAAGTCCACGGTAGTCAACGCAAAGTCGGAGACTGCCGTCCTTCTTCTTCACAAATAGGATTGGGGCTCCTGCCGGGGATTTGCTCGGCCTAATCTTTCCCAATCGCAACATTCTGTCCAGGTACTCCCGAAGCACCTTCAGCTCGGCTTCGGATAGGGAGTAAACGGGTCCCCATGGTGGCTGCTTCCCTGGTTCGAGATCTATCGCATGGTCGTAAGATCGATGCGGTGGTAATTTATCTGCTTCCGATGGTAGGAAGACTTTAAGGAACCCATGGAGCCAAGAGGGAAGAGTTTCGCGGAGGTTGACCGATTCATCTTCCAAAAGGCAAATGCTACCGATGAATTGGGCCTCCGGATCGTCCAATACACCCTCGTCCATTTCTATTTGAGGTTCCTTGTCAGTGAAGCATCGACTCTTACAGTTCTCACCATCGTAGGAAACTTCCCCATTTGCCCCTATAACCGGTTTGTGTTCTTTCAACCACCAGTTCGGTAGTATCGCATCGATGCCAAGTGGGAGAGGGGCGATTTCGAATGACAACTGTGTTTGATGCCCCCTTGACATTATAATTAATGTTTGTGTAAAGGCGTGTCCCGTGCCCTTCATAACTTCTCCCGTAAATCCAAATACTCGGGCCGGGACGTCTCGTTTCACCTTCGGGACCTCAAAACTATCAACAAAAACAGCAGACAAAACAGGACCAGTTGCACCAGTATCCAACAACACCTTACAAGGTAAACATTTTTCCGCAAAACAAAGGAACTGATTAACGATAGGTCGAGGACCATGAATAGGTTCCTCTACTATCTTCTGTTTTTTCTCCGGTTGGGACGCTCTCCCTTCCTGCCTTTTTCTTTTCATATTTTTTTTATTGTTTTCCGTCAGTGACAACATAGCAATCTGGGGATACTCCTGACCTGACTCATCAGAGTCCCCTACTGAAAATCCATATCGAAATCCATCTCAGATTCCGATCCGCGTTCTCGTACAAACGCTTGTCCACTGGTGTACTCCGCAGCAGCCATAGCAGCCGGCTTTCTAGCACGGTGCCTCATTCGCTTTCTCTGAGGTTGGGGTTCCGGTGGTTCCATATCGTGGTCGCCATCGTCATTGCGGGTACGCTTCCGGGAGAAGGAGGAGATAGATGCACTACTATTAACATCTGAACGACACCATTTCCAAAGATGACCCTTTCGGCCACATCGTACACAGACGCCATCGGTCTTTCGCTGTTCTCGGACCGGCTGTGGAACTCCTTTGGTGGCTTCGTCGTAGTCGTGGTATATTGGCTTATTCCCCGACTTGTTCTTGTTAGTGCCCTTCTTATCTTGTCCTTTTTCCTTCTCCTCAGTCTGAGCCCTGCCCTTGATCTTAAACCCTTTCTCCTTCTGCCGCGAGTTCCCACCATGGTTCGACTCCTTCCCTCTCGACTCCGCTTTCCCCAACATCTTCATCTGCTCCTGATAAGCCTCATGAGCCTTGCCGGCTCGTTCCAACTGTTGGATGTACTCGGAGTCGTCATCGGTTGGATCGAAGCGCGAGTGGCGTTCTCGGATTTCATTTGGTAGCCCTTGGAGTAAGGCGGCGCGATAGGATGCCCCTTTCATCTGAGCATGCTGGTTCATAATCTCCATCCTCGTCAGGTAGTCGCCGATGTTAGCAGAGTACTTAAACTGCTGCATCTTCATCGCGTTTTCCATAGCCTCCTGAGTGCTTAGGAAACGTTTTCTGACTTCCTGACGAAATCGAGCCCAAGTGGCATAGTCTGCACCGGCCGGGCCCAATATTTTGGTCTCGATATACTCCATGAACCATTCCTTTGCCAACCCGCATGTATACGTCCCAGCGAACAGTACCTTGTTCCTGTCCGTTCGGAACTTCTTAGGCTTCTGCTCGAAGTAGATCTCGCACTCCATGAGCCAATGCCGCAGGTTATGCTTCCTGGCATTATCGAACTCAAATGGTATTTTGGCGAGTGAATCTACCATATCCTCGTCTTCAGGTGGCGCCGAATTCCGGTTCCCGCCTCGATTCATTCTCCAATTCTTCCGACCATGCGACCATTCGCTGTTATCATCGTCATCGTCGTCAGAAGGTTCTGGATCTCCCCCAAAGTTTCCTCCTGGTGGGTTTCGGGGAGGTAGATTTCCACCATTCCCTCCTACCGGAGCAGTTCCTACCGGTCGCCTGCCACTGTTTCCCTGCACTGGGCCGGCGTCCTCCGGTTGCTTGCCTCCGTTTCCACCAACCGGGCCTGCTTCTTCTGGTTGCTTGCCGTTCCCTGATGTTTGGGGGCCAGCATTTTGGGGTTTCTTGCCATTGCCAACAGGAACCGTTCGGGGTGCATTAGGGTCTAGCGGAGCACTAGCCACGGAAGGTGCTACTGACAGATGTTGTCGCAGTAGTTCCTCCATCTCGGCTATTCGTTGGTTTCTTTCTTCATCGGACCGCTTGAATTGCGCAAACAAAGCTCGTTGCTCCCCTTTTTCCTGCTCCCGCTCTTCTCTCACCATCCTCAGTTGTCGCTCCGCCTCCTGTAGTTGGGTCTGGGTTTGATGATGACTTCGCTCCAGAACCTCATGGTCGGCGGCTCGTGCGGCTTCTTGTACTTGTCGGACATTGGCAACGAGCTCAAAGAGCGATTCGAGATGTTGTTTTTGAGCAATGGCTTCTTGCCGTACCTTCTTATCCAGGATTTGCCCACTCCCTTGGACTTGTTCCTGGAGGTTTTGTAGCTGCTGCCAAACGGCCTGTCCAGCTGCACCAAGATACCTCATTTGTGCCTCATGGGTATCCAAAAACTCCTGCATATTCCTCACGAACTGGGCTTGAGCAGAGCGTTTACTCGTTGACCTAGTTTGTGTAGAGGGTCCTCCCGTAAGTAGGGGATCTGGGCTAGCAGCCCTCGATATTACCATAGAATCTTCCCCCCCGGCCTCCTCGGTTACGGCCGAGGTATCTATGAAATAATTATCCCTTCGGGTAGTCATTGTGATAGGGGATAATGATGATAGTTCTTTTTTTTTTTGAGGTGACTTCGTTACTCCAAGTGAACTTGTGAGTAACAATATACTGTGAGGGATGCGCACCAGATCACAAGAGTACACTACGCAGAGCTCAGAGTTCGGCTAACAGCTACAAAGGTAGAAGTCTCCAAGGTCTCTTCAGTCAACGTCGAGTATGATTCTCCTTGATCCGATACGGGCCCCGCGAGCTACGTTATCAACAAAGATTCACTAGAGTTAGCGTATGATGCTTCGACCGTCTTCGACGTAATAGTTCAGGTAGAGTTCGAAGCCACGATAGAGTAAAGTAATTTCAAAAGTATAGTCAAATAAAGTTGTAACTCGCGTATCAACGATTTATATTGTTAAGACTCTGATTTCGCCGATGATGGTCTGGCTAGTCAGTGAATGACACAGTATTTATATCCCTCGCTTATGTCTCGAGGACCCAGTCTACTAATAATACAGAATACACTCGGGATCTGCCCGAGACCCTGAAAAACAACCAAGAACATTTAACTCCTAAGTCCGTAACCCAAACTCCTAAACCCGCTGAAACCCTTCAACCTATTTACCCACTCTAATGCACGCTTCCCTGTCGATGTTTCCTCTCCATCGGCCGTCTGGTGGGTAATCGTCAGCGTCGGCTACTCGTAGGTCTCGGACGGCAAAGCTACCTACTCAGGCCTCTTCCCACATCGCTTTCCCACATAGCAGAGTCCTCTCATGCCCATAGGTACCGCCGATAGGTACTCGGTCGGCTGGTGGCTTGCGCCGATTCGCTCCGAGTGATCCGATCTTCGATCCGATTGCTTCCAGCTGTCCCTCATATATCCACCGGTACCAAAGCACTCCCCTCCGGCGGTTTGACGCTCCGGGGGTTATTATTGGGGTCGAAAACGTGTTTTTTATGACTCCGTGTTTTGGTCGTATATTGGTCGCACCACACCCCGCGGGTGCGGTCCAGAGTTGACGTTAGCGTGCAGAGGGTATTGGGGTATCTACTAGCCTTTTCCTAAATGCTTGGCATGCCCGTAACAAGCACCTTCCGTGGCTAGTGCTCCGCTAGACCCTAATGCACCCCGAACGGTTCCTGTTGGCAATGGCAAGAAACCCCAAAATGCTGGGCCCCAAACATCAGGGAACGGCAAGCGACCAGAAGGAGCTGGCCCAGTTGGAGGAAACGGAGGCAAGCAACCGGAGGATGCCAGCCCAGTGCAGGGAAACAGTGGCAGGCGACCGGTAGGAACTGCTCCGGTAGGAGGGAATGGTGGAAATCTACCTCCCCGAAACCCACCAAGAGGAAACTTTGGGGGAGATCCAGAACCTTCCGACGACGATGACGACGATAACAGTGAATGGTCGCACGGTCGGAAGAATTGGAGAATGAACCGAGGCGGAAACCGGAATTCGGCGCCGCCCGAAGACGACGATATGGCAGATTCGCTCGCCAAAATACCCTTTGAATTCGATAATGCCAGGAAGCATAACCTGCGGCATTGGCTCATGGAATGCGAGATCTACTTTGAGCAGAAGCCCAAGAAGTTCCGAACGGACAGGAACAAGGTACTGTTCGCTGGAACGTACACGTGTGGGTTGGCAAAGGAATGGTTTATGGAATATATCGAGACCAAGATGCTAGGCCCGGCAGCCGCGGACTACGCCACTTGGACTCGGTTCCGTCAGGAGATCAGAAAACGGTTCCTAAGCACTCAGGAAGCTATGGAGAATGCAATGAAGATGCAGCAGTTTAAGTACTCTGCTAACATTGGGGACTACTTGACGAGAATGGAGATCATGAACCAGCATGCTCAGATGAAAGGGGCATCCTATCGCGCCGCCTTGCTCCAAGGGCTACCAAATGAAATTCGGGAGCGCCACTCACGCTTCGATCCAACCGATGACGACTCCGAGTACATCCAACAGTTGGAACGAGCCGGCAAGGCTCATGAAGCTTATCAGGAGCAGATGAAGATGTTGGGGAAAGCAGAGTCAAGAGGGAAGGAGTCGAACCATGGTGGGAACTCGCGGCAGAAGGAGAAAGGGTTTAAGATCAAGGGCAGGGCTCAGACTGAGGAGAAGGAAAAAGGACAAGATAAGAAGAGCACTAACAAGAACAAGTCGGGGAATAAGCCAATATACCACGACTACGACGAAGCCACCAAAGGAGTTCCACAGCCGGTCCGAGAACAGCGAAAGACCGATGGCGTCTGTGTACGATGTGGCCGAAAGGGTCATCTTTGGAAATGGTGTCGTTCAGATGTTAATAGTAGTGCATCTATCTCCTCCTTCTCCCGAAAGCGTACCCGCGATGACGATGGCGACCACGATATGGAACCACCGGAACCCCAACCTCAGAGAAAGCGAATGAGTGTAACGGGGGTCCTTTTTAAGAGAAATAGATTTGTATAGAATAGAGACGGCCGTGCAAGATAGACAATCAGGTTGCAGATTATTCAAAGATACTATCGCTAGAACTCAATAATCTTTAAGGGCTCTGCTACCGATAAGAACTTGGTTTTCTTTCTGATGAAGACTGGAGAGAACAGGACTGAAGGGCGAGAATGAACCTGAGTACTTATACTCCGAAGGCCTCTATTCTCTGCTCCTAACTCCTTACTAAGTTCCGGTGGGCCTTTCCTCAGTACCGGAAACAATACCACCGCTACCCCGCTTTTCTCTAAGCGTCAGCAGGTGTTTCCGATACCCAAGGCAACCACCCTTAGTCAAAGCCTTTGTAACACCTGCAGCCTTGGTTGCCACACAACCGAGGACCTGCATGAATGAGCTACCGCTCAGGTGTAAGCTTAATCATTGCTGTAGAGCTTTCGCTTATTGTAGACTTCCTTAGCATAGTTCCTGCCTTTCGGCGGACTTACAATGCTCGGAGGATACAGAGGATCACCGGGCAATCAGAGCTTCACTCTGGCCGGTCTTCTAGTCACTGGCGAGGCATAGACTCGTCAGTCATTGCTCCCATGAATAGGTCCCCTTCCTAGCGCCCGGAATGTAGTTACTCTAACAGCTGGTAGCTAACCACACTGCCGGTACTTGCATATCACCGTGCAACTGGCTTCTAACAATAACTCTCAGCATGTAACCGGGCCCTGTGTGTACTCATACACCAGACAGTTGAAATGGCTCCGTTACACCACTTCCCTCTTCCAGGATCTTGGTCTCCGAGATCTATAACCATTCTATTACCATCCAATCTATGTGACAAGAAACTCCGTGATATGCAAAGAACGAAAACCTGGAGGAAAACAAACTACACCCCAACAATCCGCTTGTCTCTGGGTTTCTTAGGATACCTCATATGGAAATCCAGAAGGGCTTCTTCAGCACTCTTCTTGAGATGCTCCCAAGGTTCCCATGTAGCATCCTCGTTTTCATACCCTTCCCATAGCACTAGGTATTCCACTAGTCTCCTTTTCTTATTGACCCGGCTATCAGCTACCTCTCGGACAACCCAGTTCTGTTCTCCTTCAATCTCTTCAGGTTCCGGTAATGGAACTCTTCTCTCAGGATCTACCGGTGCTCTGTAAGGTTCCAAAAGAGAGACATGAAAGACCGGGTGGATTCCCATTTGGGGGGGAAGAGAGAGCTTGTAGGCACGGGTACCAATGGCTTCTAAGACCTTAAAAGGTCCCATCTTCTTCTGATCCAATTTTCCCAAAGGCCGCTTTGTTTGCACATTGCGCCGGTCTAGCATAACTTCATCTCCGGGCTTGATTTCAGGCGGCGCCAGGGCATGAGTATCATACCACCGGGCCATCCTTAATCTAGCTTTACCCAAGCTGGCATTCATAGCCTGCCAGATAGATTCCCATTGAGATATCATGACCTCGCTCGCTGGATTGTTCCATTGTACTCCTTCCTTTGGGGCCGGCCAGTTGGTCCTGGGTTCATATCCATAGTTGGCATAAAAAGCCGATACTTTGGTAGACTCAGAGACCGCCGAGTTATATGCATACTCTGCCAAAGGCAAGAGTTCTGCCCAGTCATCCTGTTGATATGAACAATAACTCCGCAAGTAATGTTCCAGGGTCTGGTTAACTCTTTCTGTTTGACCGTCCGTTTGTGGGTGGAAAGATGTGGACATCTTCAGCTTCACATTGAGGAGACTCATGAGAGATTGCCAAAAGTGAGAAATGAACCTGCTATCTCTGTCCGAGACTATATCATCAGGTAAACCATGGAGTCTCCAAACTTCCTTCAAGAACAACTTAGCCAAATCTTCCGTTTTATTGAGGGTAGGAAGAGGGATGTAGTGTGCCATTTTCGAAAAGCGGTCCACTATTACCCAGATCTTTGTAAACCCACTAGATTCCGGTAATCCCACAATGAAGTCCATAGAGATGGAAGTCCATGGCCGATAGGGTATCTCCAACGGTTGGAGCATACCAAACTTCTTGTGTCTTGAGGTCTTATTCCTCTGGCAGCTGTCACAGCTCCGGACATATTCCTCAACATCCTTATCCATGTTGGGCCAAAAGAAGTTGTTTTTCACCCGCTCTAGTGTCTTAAATTGGCCAAAATGACCAGCCACCTTAGAGTCGTGGGTATCGGACAGTATTTCCATCTGAAGCTTCTTGTCTTTGGGTATATACCATCTATTTTTGTAGAAGATGAGACCGTTCTTGACCGACAAGTTCTGGTCCAAATTTGGTTTCCTTTCAACCAGAGAGCGGTGCAATTCCTGCCAGAAACTATCCTCTTTAGCAGCCGTGTATAGGCGCTCTAAGAATGTATTCTGCAATTGATTCACCCTGACAGCCGCTAGCTTTGCAGGATCCAGAACCAATTGACCTGGCCTAAAAAAGATCTGTGGCTCCGGCTGCAGAGTTTCACCTCCCTCTCCAAGGCGGTGATCCCAGCGCCTAGATAGCACATCAGTCTTGCCATTCTTTTCTCCCGGTCTGTAGACAACTTTGAAATTATAGCCTGCTAGGTCCTCGGACCATCTAGCTTGCCGCCTAGTGAGAACCTTGGTAGAATTAAAATACTCCAAGTTCTTGTGGTCTGTGAAAACCGTGATCTCTTGCTCACAAGATTTGAGCATGTGTTCCCATTCCCGGAAAGAGGCTACAATAGCTCCCATTTCCTTATCATGAATGTCGTAGTTGATCTCGGCGGGGGAGAACTTCTTAGAATAGAATGCCACCGGATGTAGCTTCCCATCATCCCCATACTGAGAGAGCACCGCTCCCTTGGCAAAATCACTGGCATCTGTCTCGACCACCGTTCTCCTACTAGGGTCAAAATGAAGGAGGATTGGAGCGCTTGTGAACAGCCTCTTGAGTTCTTCAAAGGCCTGCTCATGTGCTGCCGTCCAATACCATTTCTTGTCTTTTTGCAGGAGGTCAGTTAATGGTTTGCAGACTTTACTGAAGCCTTCAATAAAGCGGCGATAGAAGTTTGCAAATCCGAGGAATGCTTGTACTGCCTTGATATTCTCAGGGACCGGCCATTCCTTAACTGCCTCCACCTTGTCTTCTGACATAGATACTCCTTCTTCCGAGATGTGATAGCCTAGGTATTCTACTTCTCGGACATGGAAGGATGTCTTATTGATCGAGGCACAGAGTTTTGCTTCCCTAAGCTTCTGTAATACCTTCTTGACCAGTAGCTCATGCTCCTTCTCAGTCTCCGAGTAGATGAGGATGTCGTCGATGTAGACAACCACTCCTTCATCCAGTAGTTCCTTTAGCACATCATTGATCATTGCCTGGAAGGCTGAGGGGGCATTGCATAGACCAAATGGCATCACATTATACTGATACAGTCCATAGCGGGTTCTGAAAGCGGTTTTCCACTCATCACCTTCTGCTATCCTGATCAAATTGAAGCCGTTCTTCAGGTCTATCTTTGTGAAGATCTTGGCCTTGAACAACCTGTCTCTGAGCTCACTCATGATAGGCAGCGGGTACTTGTCCTTGACAGTGACCTTGTTCAATCCTCTGTAGTCCACACAAATTCGCAATGTCCCATCCTTCTTAGGAATGAACAGTATGGGCGCCGCAGCAGGGCTATTAGATCTAGAGATCTTTCCTGAAGACAATTCTTTGTCCAGGTACTCTCGGAGGGCCTTCAACTCTGGAGCGGAACATGGGTACAGTGGGCCAAATGGGGGAGCGGTCCCAGGCAAGAGTTTGATCTTTAAATCATTATGGGAATGCGGCGGCATTTCCTCAATCTTCTCTTGACTGAACACATCAGCCCAATCCCGGTATAGGTGGTGTATTTTCTCAGCAATATCACCTCCGTCCTCATCATGCCATACTGAACCAACCAATTGATAGACTGTCTCTTCTTCTTCCAACATTTGGTATGGAGAGATCAGTTCAATCTTGGTGGCCGCTGGGAGACAATTCTGCTTACAGTAGTCACTTCTCCAGCTCATGGTGTTGAGTTCCCAGTTGATGTCCGGGTTATGCTTCCTAGCCCAACTAATTGGCAGGTAACCGGTCATTCCTTCTTCCAAAGTAGCCACTTCCCATCGGAGTGTCTCCTTATGATCTCCCATAATCATGCGGACCGGGTGAGTGTAATACTCGCCTCCTCCCATCATGACATCTCCTTGAGCATCAAACATTGTCAGAGGTTGATCCCGCCGTACTAAGGGAATTCCATGCTTCCTGACAAAACTCTGGTTGAGGATTGCTCCTGTACAACCGGTGTCAAACAGGAAAGACCCTTGGGCGCCTTCATCCTTTCCTTTGACTGTCCATGACAGTCCTGCCTTCAGTATAGGTCTTCTTCCATGTACTGGTAAGGAGGGAAGCCTCTGTTCCAACCTTCTTTGCTTAACAGCGGATTCTGGACTCGTTTCTCTTTGTCTTTTCAGCATAGCTAATAGCTTCGGGCACTACTAAGATCAAAGATCCTTTGGTTCTATTCCCAAGCGGTAATATAGCGGGTATGATGTGTGGTAATTTTTTGGTAGCGGTTTGGAAGTGTCTTTGTAGCAAATGTAACTTTGGTAGAGCACTGACAGACCAGCTGTTTCGGGTCTTAAACCCATCCTCAGAGTGCTTAGAGCAGTCAAATAGGCGGAAACACAATCATAATTTATTCAAGAGAAACATAGAAACCCAAATCCCATATAAAAGAAAACTAGTAAACATAGACCCAAAACAGACACTTTTCTACCAGAGGATTTCATTGTCCGAGTCTTGCTCAGGCTGCAAAGCAAAATCTTCCGTAACCTCCGGGAGTACAATAAGTGGATCCTCTGCTACTACAGCAGCCACTTTAGCCTTCTTCTGAGAGTTGGACTTGCCATTCCCTCTTTTCCGCTTTTGTACCCTCACTGCTGCTACTCGAACAACAGTAGGTTCCTTGGACCAACAATCGGTCCATTTGTGTCTGGACTTGCCGCACTATTGCACAAGTCAGTCTATGCACTCTAC